CGGGTGTAAGAGCGTGATCAAACATGTAAACTCGCGGCCTGGCACGGAGCATGGTGGTCAGAATGCCGCCCTGTTCGCGTTCGCCGTCTGCGGAGCACCTAGACCCAAGAGAAACCTAGGAATGAAGAAGGATACCCTTTTTTTGATTTAAGAGGCTTCTCTAATGCCTTAACCAAAAGGGAATAAGGGGCCTTCGGTCCAGGCACAAGGCCTTGCTCGCCATGTTAGAAGCGGAGGCGGTCCCGAAGTGAGACTCAAAGCGGAACCAACGCTGCGCGAGCCACTTCTCACCGGAGAGTACAGGGCAGGAAGCATGTACCGCTCCTTAGCTGCACTCAGGAGGGTAGCTAAAAATTAAACGTTTAGCTGCCTGATTAAGAAACCCAGTTAACCCAAAAAGGGTAAGGATCTAAAGTTACAGTAAAGTACCACAAAGGCGCGAACATCCTTCTCCCCAAGGAGATGGTGGTTGAAGAACCTCTTCTCTCCAAGCGTAGCACAACGCTTGAACTGCCACAAGCAACACAACTCCAAGAATCAATGCTCTGCTGAACCCCAAATTACTAACATGAATCTAAAGCTCTCCGCAACCCTAAACCCTAAACCCTGAACCCTGAACCCTAAACCCTAAACCCTAAACCCTAGACCCTAAACCCTAAACCCTAAACCCTAGATTAGGAGAGCCATGACATGAGTAGAAGGAGCAGCACCGCGCGCCCCTCTCGTGGGGCCACACGTAGCAGCTCCGGCAGCCGCAGGTTGCAGCAGTTCTCAATGCCGAACCTGGGTTTAGGGTTTAGGGTTTAGGGTTTAGGGTTTAGGGTTTAGGGTTTAGGGTTTAGGGTTTAGGGTTTAGGGTTTAGGGTTTAGGGTTTAGGGCGGTGCACCCAGGATTACGTTGAGGGTTTAGGGTTTCCTTGGGGCCCAAATGACAATGAACCCTGAAGTTGGGGGTCATATACCCTACAATACCATAACCCCAAGTAACAAATGACATTGAACCCTAAAATTGGGGGGCATAAACCTTATAATACCATAACCCCAAGTAAGGCATATAAGCCATAAACCCTTTCAGGGTTCATGTGGTCCCCAAGGTTCGGGGAGGTAAGGTTTATGGGTTTACGTGGTCCATTTTCGGGAGACTCCCAAACCGGGGTGGCCTGCCTAGAAGCCCCCTCTTGCTTGGGACCCGCCCCGGGCGCCCTAGAATGTACATGAAGTAGGGTATATATATATATATATATATATATTTCTTGTACCCCCACAAGGACACCCGGTATATACACTCACAAATATGAAAAAGGAACCCTTATATACACTCACCAGCAACAGTAATATAAACCCTGCTTCACATCATCCCTTGCCAGCCGGCCCCCAACACCAAACCTCAGACAGCTTCTCCAGTGTTCGCTTCCAGGGACCCTAAACCCTAAACCCTAAACCCTAAACCCTAAACCCTAAACCCTAAACCCTGCCAAAGGACCTACTTTTGGTTACCGAACTACCCAAGGACCTACTTTTGGTTACCTTTGGCCCTCAAAAGGTGTCAAGGCTTGAAAGGCCCTGAACAAGAATGGCAATCATGAGGCACGACCAGCCGTGGCCTTGGGGACCTCATGAACCCTGAAAGGGTTTATGGTTTTCATATACCTTACTTGGGGATGTAGCAGTAGAGGGCTTATGGGTATATGACCCCAACTTTAAGGGCCCCCCAAGGAAGAAGGAAGGAAACCGCAAACCCGCAAAGGTCAAGACCGGGAATCCTAAACCTAAATCTCCATTGCGACACCCTAAACCCTAAACCCTAAACCCTAAACCCTAAACCCTAAACCCTAAACCCTAAACCCCCCAACCCTAGACCCTAAACGGCCCTAAACCCTAACCGTAAAGTGCTTACATGGAGCAGTCTCCAGAGCTGCCTTTCGTGGAGGCTCAGGGTACATATTAACCCATTTAAAACTGTCCTTATAACCCAATTATAGCCATGTTAGGGCACTTAAAGGGCTTATAAGTGGGTAATAAGTACAGCCATAACTGGGGTATAAGTACCATGAACCACCAAGTTAGGACAGTGCCCTGAACCAAGGCACCGGGAATGCCCATCGGCATCTGCGTGATGCCTTATACTTCTCCAACCATCCAAGGAATAAGCAGGTTTAAGGTTTATGGTTTAGGGTTCCAGGTTTAAGGCTTAGACTTTAGGGTTTAGGGTTTTATAAGGTTGAGGCTTCCAGGTTTAAGGTTTGAGGCTTAGAGTTTGGGGTTTAGGGGTTTTTGGGAAGCCCAAGAACCATATCGTGGTAAGGGTACTTTATTTATTTCTTATGCTTTTATTTATTTTTTTTCGGGGGGGGGGGTGCTTTCTGAGGAAACCTTGAACCACAAAAAGGGCAAAGGGTACCACTGGGCTAACAGGCAAGGTGCACAGGGCGGCACTGCAGCAGCACTTCACGACTCAGGGGAAAGATGGTTTCGCCCCCTGCTTCAACATCCTCGGAAATTTCTTTTTTCTCAGGGTTCAGGGTTCGGATTCAGGGTCCAGGGTTTAGGGTTTAGGGTTTCATACCAGGGTTGGGGCTTAGGGTTTGCAGTTAGAAGTGGAGCATAAACTGGGACATGAGTCTCCTGTATAGTTAATATCGCACGGGGCCTCCTTAAGGGCCCCTTGGGGTGTTTGCGGGATTGGGGGTTGAGGGTTTTGGGGCTTGAGTTTGTTTTTGCTTCTGAGGGTGTATGGTGGGCTCTCTAAAGTAGGGTCCCTTTTGGGGTACCATACATAAGAGCGGCCTCCATATAATGAGGACCCCAAAAGAGACCATAACTTAGACCCACTTAAGAGTAGACCCTGGAACAAAGTGTATACTTTTTAGGTATAAGTAGCTATACTAGGAACCCAGCACCCAAAAAAGTATTAAATTAAAGTATAGTACTCCAACACCCAGTAGAGGAGTCGCCATACAAGGATAAGTTTCTTGGTTTTCTGGGCATCATGCGAGGAAATGCTGCCTCAGGATGTGCCTCGTCTTGCTAGGAACCCGTACACCCTGACACCTTAACACCCCAGCGCCCTAAACCCTAAGACCCTACAACACCCTGCGCCCTAAACGCTAAGACCCTATAACACCCAAAACCCTAAACTCGAAACCCTAAACTTAACGTCATGACGCCTTAACTAACACCATCCGCCCTACTGTTTATTTTTTTCAGGGTTGAGCGTCTGCAAACACTCATGGCGCAATACCGAGAAGAACCCCAATTTGAGCCTTAAACCCGTAAAATGCAAACATGGCAAAACATGTGTGTATATATACATATGGTGTATATATATATATATATACATATGTATATGTATGTGTATAATGGTCTCGGGCCCTGGGGCCCTACCCCCCCACCCCCCCCCCCCCCCCCCCCCCCCCCCCCCCCCCCCCCCCCCACTCCGCCATGGCTCCCCCCCACCCCCGCGCCGCTTCAGGGCACAACCGCGCCGCTTCAGGGCACAACATGTTCCACCACAGTGTCGGGGGGCGGGGGGGGGGGGGGAGGAGGATTGGAATCAAGGCAAAAACATGGGCTGAAGAGGAAGGGGGCAAAACATGTTTCGCGCCACAAGGAGGCATAAAATCTAGCGAAAGATAGGCTGAAGAGGAAGGGGGGGGGGGTTCCAATGGGGGTTGGGGCACGACATTGTCATATTCGCACCAGGCGCCGACATGCGAATCTAACCAACAACATGGGCTGCAGAGGAAGGAGTGGGGGGAGCCCTGCACCATATGAGCATATGCTTATATATATATATATATTGTTTTTTGTTTTTTGGTCTTTGCCTTTCTTGACAACACTATAACCCCTGAGCACAAGAGTCGTTGAGGTAGACAATCAGGGTTGCCGGCCGTGCCAAGCCCACTTCCGGGCCCGAGTCGTGGTGCATCTCGTAGCGCTCTCCCGGGCGGTACCTTCAAAATAGGGTTTAGGGTTTAGAGTTTAGGGTTGAGGGTTTAAAGTTTAGGGCTTACGTAATGTTTAGGGTTTCTTGGGCTTCGGAATTAAAAGCCCTAAAACCGCGAGGGTTTAACACCCTGGGCTGTTGCCTTGGAGTTCCTGGGATGTGTTTACTAGCAAGATGAGGGGTTTAGTATATAAGTAGTTACCGACAGGCTCCTATGGTATGTTTTTTTTACAAGGTAGCATATAACTCTCCCCCCCCAAAAAAAACCTTCACAGGCACTAAGTAGATACGTAGGAGAATCTCAATAAGGGCCCCTTTTGGGGTACTCATCTTTGCCTTCTTGAAGGTCCATGGTACTTACTAACCAATTATAACTGTACTTATAACCCTACTAATAATACCCCTAAAGGGCCTTATAGGGGTTATCCCAATTATAAGTAGGGTTATAAGCCCAGTTATAATTGGTCAGTAAGTACCATGAACCTTCAAGTTCGGCACCTGGGAACCTGCCTTAATGAAAAAAATGAATGCTAACATGCTAAGGACCTACCCAAAGGCTCCAATGGAGTTCCTTTTTGGGTTAGTTATAGGGGATTCTAGTATACTACCCCAAAAAGGTACTACATGGGAGCCTTTGGGTAAACTTGTGAAGCAAAGAACCACCGAGCATTATAGCCAGCTGACTAAGTCCCTCTTGTTTTTTCGGGTGGATGGGGCTTCTTTACAGTCTCTAGGGCCCTAGGGTTTTGGTGTTTAAAGGGCTTCAGGAGTTGGGCTCAGGAACAGCTACATGTACATATCTCAGGAAATACGCAATCGACATTCCAGGCACACCGAGGTATCTCCTGCTGGGGGGTTTAGGGTTTCCCCTAAACCCTAAACCCTAAACCCTACACCCTAAACCCTAAACCCTAATCCCTAACCCTAAACCCTCAACCCTCAACCCTAAGCCTAAACCCTAAATCCAAGGCGCCGGGCAATCTGTAGCTTCTCACCAGAGTCGGGGGGCATGCGTGCCGCCAGGTGCATGCGCTCCAGCACGTCCTGAAGGGTCGAAGAAGCAGCCTCATCCTCACTTTCCAGGTACCTGGGTTTAGGGTTTCGGGTTTGGGATTTGGGGTTGGGGGTTTCGGGGTAGGGTTTAGCAACATAGGGTCACTTCTCTAAGTTCTGGTCCCTTTGGGGGCTACTATTATAAGGCGGCTCCGAAAATTTAGAGTACCCCAAGAAGGCACCGTAATTGTGAGAACTGGCCTAACATCTCCAGGTCCTTCCGAGGTGCAAGTGCGTGTTGCCTCGAATCTGGGCATCCCTGTGAAAAGCTTGTCCCGCGTTCGAGGATCTCGCGTCATTAGACACGAAGGCGCTTCTGAACCGGCCCGATTGCAAAGCCAATGTCCTCAAATGATCGCACTCTGCCTTGTTGAGGAAGTTGTCCTAACTCTCAGAACAAAGCCCCAACACGAGCTACACCCAAAAACCCTAAACCTGAACCTCAGTACTTGGGGCTTAGCACCCGGTTGAACACCACAAAGGCGGCTTTTTACGTGCCCAGACTTCTTCACACTCAACTTCGTCATGACCCCTACAACAAAAACATATACTGGAAGTGTGTCCCCAGTCTCTCTCACAAACACGCGTGGGCTGCTCGAGAGGGGCAGCCATTCCTCCAGGTTGACGCCAGAGACCAGCTGTAGCAAGCACCAACACCCGGCTAGCTGCATCACTGCGATAGGATTTGCTTAAGATACCCCCCTCCAAAAAAAGTTGAAAGATGACAGTGCCTCGAATACCCTGATAAGGAAGAGTCTTTATGTTTTTTTTTTTTTTTTGGGGGGGGCTCTTAAGCAACTAGCAGTGGGATGTCATCAAAACGGCTGCGCTGATGTGGCCCTGGCCTGTTGTTGCTTTCGGGTTTAGGCTTTAGGCTTTAGGGTTTAGGGTAGCCGGACAACCAACGAGGTCCATGGAGCACTTGTTGACTTGAGGTCTATGACCATTTCTGATGCTACTATCGGAACTAAAACTGCTACTATAGGAAGTGTTTCCATTACAAAGACGCTGACGGATGACGACGACCACGACCGCGACTGCAAAGACCACTACAACTGTACGACCATCCACCTACTACTAATTCTACAGCGATTCTCAAAATTGAAAAAAGTATGGCCACAACTCAAGCTTCTATCAAAATGGCTGACAACGGTAGGTCCTTCTCTTACTGTTACTCTTGCTCGCTCTGACACTCACTGCTGGTAGCCCTACTCTAAGCCCAAGAGAAAGCTAGGAATGAACGGGGTACCCTTTTTGGTCTAGGGGCCTTACAAGGGAACCTAAACCCTAAACAAGGGGAATAAGGCCTATTCCCCCATACTTTCTAAACCCTAAACCCTCTTATAAGCCCCTCAAGTGCTCTAACATGGTTATCATTGGGTTATAAGTCCAGTCATAATTGGGTAATAAGTATCATGAACCTCCAAGTACTCTCATAAATCCTAAGCCCTAAACCCTCAACCCTAAGAAAAGGCACTCTGGGTCCTAGTGCTTCTCCTTAAACCCTAAACCCTAAATCCTAAACCCTAACCCTCAAACCCTGAAACCTAAACCCGAAACCCTTCTTTGTCAGGGTGGGCATGACTGTGAACCCGATATCCTCGGGTCCTGGCCGCAACCTGAAGCTCGAGCTCCAGGGCTCTGGCCTGGTAGGTTTAGGGTTTAGGGTGTTTAGGGTGTTTAGGGTTTAGGGTTCAGGGTTTAGGGTTTCAGACCGACCCAAGCTGTAGTTTGAGTCTGCGCGTAACTTTGGAAGTGGCTAGGGCGCAAGCACGTACTCTTACTCCCCAAGTCTCCTAGAAAGGTCAAGGGTTTAGGGTTTAGGGTTTAGGGCTTAGGGCTGAGGGTTTAGGGCTTAGTTAGGGTTTAACGGTACCTTTGTTGAGGGCCAGTGAGGGGCATGGAGAAGCCTAGCAACCCTCCGGGAGCCGCGCCTTCAAGCTCTGGGCGGAGGCCTAGACCATACAAGCCCTAAACCCTAAAGCCCTAAACTACTATTTGCTTAAGAACCCCAAAAGAATTTTTTTAAAAAATAATAATCATCATCAAGTTAACTTTCATAAGGAAGAGTTTTTTCTTTCTCTCCCCGTTGTACATGAGGGCTGTGTAGAAGCGAACAAAGTCCATCTCTGCTGCCGTGTCCAGGGGACTCTCCACCTACCGCCCACACGTTTTTAGGGGTTTAGGGTTTAGGGTTAAGATGTTGTGGGTTTGCACAATCCTGGCTGATGACTCTCTTACTCTCTGAACAGTAGCTCTTCTTCTGGGTGATCTGACTATTCTCACGGTCGCTTTTCGGTGTCAAAGGCTTCAGAAGCGGACTATCCGCGAAATCGTGAGATTTCATTACTCAAGCCCCAAACACTAAAGCCCTTGAACCCTTAACCCCACACCTCCCACCAAAAAAAGGACACCTAAATCGACCCGAAACCTTACAACCTAAACCCTAAGGCGCTCACAGCTCAACCCAAGCGCGAACCGGCTGGCACCTAAACCCTAAACCCCTAAACCCCTAACCCCCTAAACCCCTAAACCCCTAAACCCCTAAACCCCTGAACCCCTGAACCCCTAAACCCTAAACCCCTAAACCCTAGATGCTAGACCCTAAACCCTAAACCCCTAATGAAACCCCGAACCCTGCGCAAAGGCTCTTTTCTTGGAGCCTGGCTCGCACAAAGCGGAACAAACCGCCAGTCTGTCTGATATAGAAAACGCGGCTGCGCGGCTGCATCTCTAAGATGTCTCTGTTTTCATGGGGTTTAGGGTGTAGGGTTTAGGGTTTAGGGTTTAAGGTTTAGGGTTTAGGGTTTAGGGTTTCCCTGCTATCCCGCTTTAGAATTACTGTCCCCCTAGGTTCCCCCCTTGTTAAGCAGGCTTAAGTATCCCTAGGTAGCCTTATTTGTGGGGCGAACCTAGGGGGGGAGGGGGGGCGGTAGTGTAGAGGGGGGGGGGGGGGAGTAGGGGAACTCATGATGTTTGGGAAGCAGATGACCTCCTGGAACCTCCCGCCCTTAAACTCCCCCAAAAATCTATCTAATGGCTTTAAACCCTAAAGCCTAAAAAAACCTAAAACCCCAAAAACCAAAAACTAAAGACCCTGAAAACCCGAAAAACCCCAAAACACCCTTAAACGCATAAAACCTAAAAACCCTAAAACCCTCAAAACCCTTAAAACCCTAAAAACCCTGAAGACCCTAAAAACCCTAAAAACCCCAAAGACCCAAAAAAACCTAAAAACCCTAAAACCCTAAACCTGAACTCTGAAGGAAGGAAGGCCAGTGTTTTTTACCCAGAGAAATGACCACGCCCATACGGGAATGGTATTACTAGTTATTCCGACCCATATACTATCCCCCCCCACCCCGCTGACCTCAATAAGGTAAACCCTAAACCCTAAACCCTAAACCCTAAACCCCAAACCCTAAACCCTAAACCCTCTTTGCCAGGGGCCGGGGGGGTAAGCAAAGTATCAAACACTTTCACCATATTTGGTCGCGCATTCAAGTCTAAGCATCGGGCTTCGGGTTGAGGGCTGAGGGCTTAGGGCTTAGGGTTTAGGGTTTAGGGTTTAGGGTTTAGGGTATAGGGTCTAGGGTTTAGGGTTTAGGATCATTTGAGACCCCGACATTGATCCCCGTACATGTGACTGCCCAATTCTCCTTCAAGATGCAGGCCGGCACTGGGCCACCTCTCATGCTTTCGAGACAAGGATACTTGGAGCCCGTTGAGTTAAGAAGTAGGGTTAGTAAGGTGGGCTATGGGGATTCTAAGAGGGCTTCTAGGGGATACGAAGTAGACTTCCTAAGTCAAAAGAGCTTCCAAGTTGGCAGGTCATGTGCGATGAGAGTGGCCTTGGCCTTGACCGTATGTCCGGTGCAATGGACCGATGCTCACATCTTTGTTATACTCACCTTAGAACCTTAATAAAAATAATATTTTTAATCTCCTCTTGGGTTTTATATAAATAAAAATAAAAAATAATTCCCAAGGGGGATATAGTTTGCGGCAGCGGGAGACATGCACGCGGGATTCAAACACAAAAGGCCAGCGCACCTCCGAAGACAAGCACGCAACTCTGGAGCCTGCTACCAACTTCGCTGTGGTATGGAGACTGAGTTGAGTGTGAGCAGTTTCTGGTACCCGAGACTGGAAAGAACACCCCCAAACTCTAAACCCGAAGCTACATGAGAGATCTAGATGACCCTGCTTCTTTCGAAATCAGCGATGTTACCTTGGAGTTCATGATTGCAATGGCTGCACCTGCTCCGGTAAGTTCACTACCGAAATAGTTCAACAATGATGCTTGCTGGAGTTTATTTAGGGTTGATAATCAGGCAATCATGATGCTACTTTGATTTGCAGGCAATCATGATGTTAATTTGATTTTGCAATTATAATGGACTCGTTGTTCCTATCTCTACATGAATATGCCCTGTGTGTTCAGGCTGTTTCTTTACGACTTTACGTGATCTTGAACCCATTCTTGCCTTTGCTGCGATAGCAAGTGCCGTTCACTTCAGATCAACACCGCCTTGTGCGGCTTGGGGTGTGGGGAGGGGTTCAGGCGAGTTTGAAGCAATGTTTGGGGGTTTAGGGTTTAGGGTTTAGGGCCTAGGGTTTAGGGTTGAGGGTTTAGGGTTTCAGGGACACAGGGTGGGGCACGAGGATGTCTCGATGTGGCTTTGGCAAGCTTGGGCTGAAACCCGAGTCCCTACACTTGCTCACGCAACTCGCAAGATGGCGGTCCAGCAGCGAGGCAGCCGCACTCGGGTTTAGGGCTTTAGGGCAGCCGGACTCGCAACTTGGGTTTTCGGACCGCTTGGGCAGGTGCCTGAAGCGGCTGCCTCGTTCTTCCAACTGCCTGGACCTAGGCCACGTCGCGATGCTTTCTTTATGTGGCTTTCTGGTGACCCTCTTCTTGTCGAAGACCGAAGGTGATGAAATCCGGTTGCAGCGCAGGCTGCGCACCCCCGAAGCACTCCTGGCGGCGCACACCCACCTCCACCACGGGAGAACCTGGGTTCTTCGCCACACTGAGCAGTTAAATGTTCAGCTTCTGTACATGTAATCGGTCTGTGGATTGATCAGCAGGCCTGATATCCTTGGGCGCCATTGGCAATGCTCTTTCGTGTCTGTCTATACATGTCTTCATCTACATCTACACACATTCGTGCATTCATGCGTGCAACCATGCTGTAGATGTAGGGACAGGAAGCAAGAGACTTGATTGACAAGTGTGTGTGTGTGTGTGTGCCAGGCCATGGGCACCCAGAGGCTCCAATGTAGTTCCTGTTTTGGTTAGTTATAGGGGATTCTAGTATACTACCCCAACAAGGAACTACAAAGGAGCCTCTGGGCAATGTAGGCTCACATCCCTGGCTCGACAGTTTAAATGCCGACAGGAATGTCGAATTGAGCGTCGTGGTTGGCCAGGCGGAAGGGTACTTCAACTTGCTTTGCGCCTCTAATCCGCTTTATGCGACGGGTTTGTACGCACAACCTGCAATTCAGCCTCATTGTGTTGCAGGAAGCTTATACTGCCGGCCAGCATCCGGCCAACCATCTCTGCCAGGCTGCGTCGGATCAGGCCCAAACCCGCTCTCAAATACTTCAGCCTACCCAAAGGCTCCAATGTAGTTCCTTTTTGGGCTAGTTATAGGGGATTCTAGTA